GTTATACTGAGTGAATGGTATAACCTGAATGCCAAATCTTTTTGAGAAAGTTCATGTTTATAATTATTCAGGGGAAACATTTTCCATGTTACCCACAGCCCATACTAAGATAGATAAGCTTGCCTCGTCCTTCTTGGTTGGTGGGCTGGTATGGTCCTAATTAATTAATATGTAGCTAATCAGGGGGCCAGGCTGTACGTATGAATGGGGTCTCAGCTCCACTTCTCCACCCATGAGAGCTCAAGACCCTGTCTCCTGACTCCATGTGATTGTCATGAGATCCTTTTACGAAGGAGAGCTCCATACCTAGGAGCCCCGAGGAGCTGGCAGCCAGTGTTGGTTTATAAGCTTCTCACTTCGGCTTTCAGTTTTCACTCTGATGTTGGCCTGCTGAAATGTCCCCTATTCTCTTTTTGACTAAGCTATGCATTTAGTATTTTATACAGCATTTCTAAATGTTTGTAGGAGAAAGATTTCCTGTCATGACACTGCTAGACAGGAGTTGAAGGATATTTTCTTTGATGGACACAGAAGTCCTAGAAGTTCAGAGCCTCCCAAAAATGATTTTATAATGCAGTAAGTAAAATGGATTTTCTTTGCAAATGAAAACAGAAGATCACCAGATTGATAGTAATACGTATGTTTAAAGAGCAAAAAAAGATGTCTCTTCAACTAATCAGAGATAAAATTAAAACTATCATCAATGTTTTTTAGGGAAAAGTGTCCACAAACTAAACATCATTACATTAATACAAAGTTTTAGCTGGGAGAGTGCTATGTATTCCAGTATACTGATCAAAATAAATACCATGGCCCACTGATCAGAACTGCTACTCTTGAGAGTTTGTGTTTTTTTTTGTTTTGTTTTGTTTTAAGATTTTATTTATTTGGCAGACAGAGATCACAAGTAGGTAGAGAGGCAGGCGGGGGCAAGTGGGGGGAAGCATGCTCCCTGCTGAGCAGAGAGCCTGATGCGGGGGGCTCAATCCCAGGACCCTGAGATCAAGACCTGAGCCGAAGGCAGAGGCCCAACCCACTGAGCCACCCAGGCACCCCTGCTATTGAGTTTTTAAAAATCTGTACACTGTAAGATTTCTCATTTTTAACCTGTATCTATTTTCAACTTATCGTCCCTCATGCTGCCTAGTAATGGCCCTTAAAAATTCTGAAAATAGTACCTATAATGATAAACAGAGTCTCCAGCTTGTCACGGTGCTAGTCAGAAGGGACGGGAATAAGGACACTACAGGCCTGGGTCATAAGAGTACCTGGACAATATTAAAATCCTTATAACTTTCTTACTACAAAGATCATTTGGCTTGGGTCCAAGATGGAGACACACTCTGTAATATTTTATATTTTTAAGTGCCTGACAAAATACCCTCACATATATGATGCCCTTTTAAAATAAGTAGGTCAGATCAGTGGTTTACGTGATTTATCCAAGGTTATAGCCCAAAAATGGCAAAGCCTAGAATAGCATTCTTTTCTGAAAATTAAACTGCATGCCAAAAGACTGTTACCATGGCAAAGCCCCCCTCAGGGATATCTTCTGCAGCTTTCATATCTAGAAGTCATTTATAAATTTTAAAAACGAATGACTAAATGAGAGGCATAAAAATTGAATCCAAAGCTCCCCTAGTGCTTGTTCAATTCAGGTATGGCACAACAAAAGGGTGTGTGTAAGAGGAGTTCATGCTTTAGACTTCCACGTTCCGATACGGTAGTCACTAGCCACATATAGCTACTTAAATGCAACCTGATTAAATAAACTAAAAAAGAAAAGAAAATTTCTTGGTCACACGAGCTGTACTTTGAGTGCTCAACAGTCACATATAGCTGGTGGCTGCTCTTTGGGATGGGGCTGATACACAGCATTTCCACTACGGCACAACAGTACAGGTCAGCATCACTCTAGAATGTGGATTGACGAAGTAAGTAATTTTATTGTGGCAGCCAAGTAGAGAGAACATGGGGTTCGAAGATTATCTGAATTCTGCCTATGTCACTTACAACCTTTGTGATTCTTGAGCAAGTTTCTTAACTTCTCTGGGACTCTTGTTTCCTCAATAGAAGTCAGAAATAAGGGGTTAGGAACTACACTTTTGCTTAATTAACTACAGAATCTTCAGTCTTCCCAACCCTCACTGAACCCCTATAAGGGTCTCCTGGCTGCCAAAAGGCCCTCGATAGGTATGAAAACACACTGATCCCAAAATATTCAAAAGAATCACTAAACCTAAGTCCTTGGCTAGTGTAAGCATTTTCTCTGTAAGATTTTGCCTTTCCCTTTGGGGGAGGTGGTATATACATAAAAACTAAAAAATGAAATCAGAATAGAATAATCAGAACTAAAAAAAATTATAGTTCAATTTTCTATTAACTCTAAAAATTGATTTGAGTGAAAGAAGCTGGATCTGAAGGTACAGTGAGCAAAATGGGTCAGATGTCTTAGTGGTATTTCCCTCAAGAAAACGACAGAAGGGCAGCTATAGAATCAGGTATAATTACCTGTATACACACTCAGACACTAATTAACTTTTTGTTTAAAGAACAAATCCCTTAACAACTCAGTAGCTTGCAGACCTGACAAGACTATTTTCCACAGTTAAGACTAGGTTGACAAAACACACTCGAGAGAGGTCCTCACTCCCAGAATCACTTGATGCTGCCTTGTCACTTCTCCCTGATACAGCTGTTCCTTTAAATACCTTCCCCAAGCTCCTCTTGTAGATTGTTTCTAATACACTCACAGTGTTGTACTTGACCTTTTCAGGCCCTTCTCTAGTCTGAAAACAAGCTGATGTGCTCTTGAATTTCTAATTAGCAATGCCAAAAACCGTACGGCCCCTTAGAAGATGATTCAGTGCCTCAATTAACAAGGAAACTGGACAACCTTGGTTAAGTGAGTTTTCTGTTCAACTAAGGAAACCTCTGTTTTAACTTAATGAAAATCTTCCTAAAATAAAATGTATTAATGTACCTTTCTGCTCAAGAATATTCTGATTAACATAATAAACGATGATTTCAGGTCATATCATGACAACAAATTAATCTATGAGACTATAGTGGGGTTAAAGTTACAGAAAACTGACACTTTTATGCTGACCCTGGGTTACACTCAAGATATTTGCCAGATTCTTACAAAATGAAACCTAATATCAGCTTATGTTCTTATAATTTCCTTTCATTTCTTCCATACATGGACTATAGAAATGTTTCCAGATAACTGAGGCCAATAAGTTAAATTTTGGTTAGTCGTGATTTAATTATATTTGGGTTATGTTGCATTTTCAACTTCAAAGGAACCTTTGCTTGTTAAAGAAATACTATGATTAACATCAGGTTTATGCTAAACAGTAAGTGAATCCATGGGTCTCTGATAATTTTCCTGACTACATTAATAATCGAACTTTTCTTAGAAGCAATAGCTAGATTAATTTCCTGGTAGTTAAGAGCAGAATTAAATAAATTTTCCTTAAAAAAAAAAATTGGAACTATGTTCCTCTGCAAAATTTCCCCTTCAACAGAATTTCAGCACGAACAAAACTGCCATCTGAAGGTAATATTAATTTAAATAAATCCCTCTGAACTTACAGGTATTAAAAAGCATTTCTAATATGCCCCCCAGACACTAAAATCTCAGAAAGGAATTATCTGGACAACAGTTCATTGAAAAAAATCAAGAGACTATTTCACTTAAATACTTAAAAGTGAGCTGTGGAGAAGAATTTGGGGCTTCTGGCTCTGAAACAGAACTCACCATTCCTCATTCAGGAAATTAAAAGAGGCATAATTTCCAGAGCTTTTTATATTTTACACCAAAGACATTCCTCCAGTACCAGTTACCTTCTAGTCAAGTGAAATCCAAACAGTAACTTTTCCTTTTTTAATTTTTTGTAGTAACTTTTCCTTTTTATGTGAGAAGTAACATTTCTCCAGCAATCTACTTGGATAATAGTTACGGTTGCTCTACCACTAACTAGGTCTGATCCACCCACAGTCAATGCCAAACAGTCTCTCTTCTGTCCTCAAACACTCATGCCTTCAACATCCATACTGAAATACAGTAATTGAGGATACTTTTTAGTATCTTCTTTTTTCCCCCACTGGTATCTTAACTTTTTGAAAGGGCCACTCTAGCTTTGTGGACTGCATGCAACCATTCGTAAGAGTCTGTAAAATGCCTGAAAGGACCCTGGAACTAAGGAGGAGAGAAAAGTGTTATGATTCTCGCTCTCCAACTGGGGACCTGCCACTCACCTCTGAGTCTCAGCTCCCTTAATTGCTTGCCTGCCCCACACAGGTTATTGTATCATTAACATTAAGGTAAAGCAGCTCTCAGCCCAGAACTTGTACCCAGTAGACACTCAATAAACAGACTGAAAAATACCACAACCCGGGTAAAGATAGTACTTCCTCTGTGGATAAATATATCAGTCCCCATCTCGTATCTCTCAAACTAAGTTCTGTTGCTCAGGGGCATGGGCAGCCAATAATTCAGTGTCCAACCAAAACAAAGGATGAAACTTATTTTCATAAAACAAACAACAGGAATATGATGTATTGCTATTATATGGAAGAGTATATTTAACTAAAACAATATAAAAAGTTACTGTATATAAGAGCGTTTCAATTTTAGAAGCCCAATTTAAAAGATTTGATCTAAGACTCATTTATAACCTAAGAGTACAGATAAAAATACATTCTTAAAGATTTTCTTTATTTCTGAGAGACAGAGAGCAAGCACAAGCAGGGGGAGCAAAAGGCAGTGGGGGAAGCACGCTCCCTGCTGAGCAAGGTGCCTGATACGGGGCTCCATCCCAGGACCCGGGGATCATGACCTGAGCTGAAGGCAGACACTTAACTGACTGAACCACCCAGGCATTCCTGTATTTTTTATTTTAACTTGAAACTCCAAAAATAACATGATGATAGAAACCAAAGTCACTCAATTTAAATTGTAAATAGATGAACTGTAATAAAACTGATATACTCACAGCTTGCATTTCTATACAGAAGAAATGGTTCATGGAGCTGAAATTCCAAATCTTTATTCACTGGTTCAACCAGATTGTGCATATTCAGTCGATTCACAATGGTAAAACCATGGTAAGGTGAGGCTGACCTTAGATTTGACAGAAGAAAAACACCTGTAGTCACTGTTTCATTTGCAGAAATGTTATCTACTTCTTTATTTCCATTTCAAAGAATAAGGATATTACCACATTATACAATATTGTTGGCACTTAAAACTGCAAACAAAAAATTTAAGTCAGATCACACCCCGCCTCTTCTCAGTAGCTTCTAAGGACTTAGTTCCCCAGAGTAAAGGCCAATGCCCTTTCTAATGCCACCAAAGCCTTGGCTGATAGGTGCCCTCCTCACCTTCACCTCGTCTGCCTCTCCCCTTGCTTCTGCTCAAGCCACACTAAGCTCATCACTCTCCCTACAGGTATGCTTCTACCTAGAGCCCTCTGCCTGGACCACTTGCCCAGAATCTAGTTACCTTAACCCCAACAGGCTCTTCCTCAAATGTCACTTTTTCAATGACACTCACTGGAGAACTACCCTTTCTCAGGCTCCCAGCCTGCTCTCAAGTTCAATACCTCCAACTCGCTTCTCTTTTTTCCATACCATTTACTTATTTTTCATATTTGTCTTTCCCCACTAGAATGTAAACTCCATGCAAACTGGGATTTTTGGCTTATTTTTTTCAGATATTAGCTGAGACAGATACCTAGCAGATGTTTAATAAACAGTTGCTCAACAAAAATATCGCTTATTTTAAACACAGTACAGACCTGGTTTTAATAATGACTGTCCACCATTATAATCATGATTTTTTTTCTTACACCAAATAAGTCTTTCTATAGTTCTCCTGAGCTAAGAGAGAAAATGCCTTGAATCCTATGATAACAAACATCCTTCGTTCTCATATCAGGGTGATTCAGTACATGATTCTTGGTTCTCATACCAGAGTGACTTAGTACATGATCTTCACATGCATGTAATACTTCATAGTTTCTCAATCGTTTTTCTGTACACAAAGGAGATTTGAGAATCCTACTCTACAGATTAGGAAATAAACTCAGAATGATTAAAGCCTTTGTCCAAAGTCACACAAATAAGGTGACCAGAACTGAGCTTTAGGTTTTCGGACTCCAAATCCAGGCTTTTTGTACACTAAGGTCTCTAGCAAAACGATATTCTGACACCGTGGCACACCTTTATCCAAGGTACATAAAATGTTCTCACATTTCCCAAAGAGTTCTTTGGTTTCCTTTTATTAGGATCAATACTATGTAAGCCTCCATGAATTTAATTAAGCCAAATCATTTATTATACTAAATTTTGTATTTTTTACAACCAGTGGAGATGTACTATACTGTTTAACAGTGAGGCCGGGAAAATATTTTCCTAATATCACAGATACCAAGATTCTAACAAGAACTGATGAGTTTCTAGAGATTACCATAGAGGTAATAAAGAACAATGAAGTAGGTGAAGGGTAAAGGCACCCTGGGAAAGAATGATGATGAGCTCCTATAGTTACTATGTAGTATCAAAGCACTTAAATACAAAGGAAGAAAAAGATGTTTTTAGACAAGATCTCAAAGTTGCATGCCAAAATTTAGAGGAATATCTGACAAATTCTTAATTACCATCAATATAGAAGGCAATCTTTAAATGGTAACTCATAGTACAAAAAAAAAAAAAAAAAAAAGAAGTGGGGAGGACCAGATGTCAGTAATAATTCCTGCTGAATCTCTAAACTTAGAAACCATGGGAAGGAACCTGCTGTAGTCAGAGCAAAACCTAAGGGAGAGCCTAAGACCAAGGAACTCTGACTATCCTTTTCTGTTAGTTACAAGTTAGGACACAAAAGGTGCCTAACAAAAACAAAAGCTGCAATTTGCAAATCAATCACATTTTAGATAATTAACTCCGAGAAAAGTTGAAAATAAAAAGCGTGCAACTGAATAAACCAGGTTTTCTAAAGGACTCTCAAACGAAAATGACACATCACTAAAGACACTGTACCCAATGCTGAACTTTTTTTGTGGGGAGGGGTTCAGAAAGGGGACAGAATCAGAGTCATAAGAAGATGACTCATTTAATAAATACAGAATAGAGAGACTGACCTTTCAACTACATTATTTTATAGAGTTAGTTTATGTATTATGTTTTTCTCTCTTTATACATGTTTAATACAGGGGGAGGGAGAAACGCATCTGTTTTAGACTTATTCATTATTAGAAAATGTTTTCTATTTTGACAGTTTTGCTAGTTCCTAGGTAAGTTCTAGTTCTGTTTATTCTGAATCACAGGAAGGCTCAAAGAAAGGATATAACTTGGTTCAGATCTCACAGCTAGAAATGGATGAAGAAGGTCAGGCAGGAAGGTTCCAAAAATGGGGCTGAACCACTTTATATAACACTGTTCACCATTAGATTAAAAATACATATGTATGATTCTTTTTAAAAGCTTACCTTCGATATACAAATAAGGTCCCTTCTATATCAGTCTTCTCCTATAATAGAAATGACTTGATTAGTTTTTCCCCCATAATCCAACCCCAAATGGTCCTAATGGAGAAATACTTCATGTTTAAGATGAAATTGCTTATTTTTAAAATTAGTCCCTTTAGAACAGGTCAGGTAAGTCTCTTACTCTACAAACTACTGTTGTTAGTTTCTTTTGTATCCTTTCTATGCTTGGGTTGCATACTAAGGTATATAAAATGTTTGGTCCAGCAACATGTCTGTTATCTGCAGCATTTTCCTCCATAAAATTTTAGGGTGAAAAATCTTAGAATTAGCGCCCCCCCCCCCCCCCCCAGTTTCTAAAGACTATTTGAGAGAGAGAGCACATGCACACATAGGGAAGGGGCAGCAGGGAGGGAGAGGGAGAGAATATCAAGCAGACTCTCACAACCCTGAAATCATAACCAGAGCCTAAACCAAGAGCTGGACCCCTAACTGAGTCACCCAGGAACCCCACTTTCCCTTTATAAAGCTAAAATGTCTTATCCAGATTTTTAAATTTTAAAGCCAAGCTTCTGTGTACAGCAATTCCTTCACTTTTAAAGTTTATCAAAGTTTGGCCAGGATGGTGGGGGGGGGCATTATCTTCTAGGATAGTTTGTTTCATCATTGGGCAATTTTGGTATATTTTTATGAATGGTGAATTTTGTGGTTTGTTAAATATTGTCAAACACAGTTTTTTATTCTTAGAACTTTGTTGAAGAATCATGAAAAACTGAAGCTATGCTCTGCCTTAAGCTAATTATTGTAGGACATAAATAATTAAAAATTTTCAGCATAAATGAAACATTTTGACTAAAAGTAGAACTCATATTATCTTTTGTTTGCTGTGACAAATGGACTTAGGTTTTATTTTTTTATTTTTTAGATTTATTTATTTATTTATTTGATTGACACAGAGAGAGAGAGAGAGATCACAAGTAGGCAGAGAGGAGGAAGCAGGTTCCCCGCTGAGCAGAGAGCCCGATGCGGGCCTCGATCCCAGGACCCTGAGATCATGACCCGAGCCGAAGGCAGAGGCTTCAACCCACTGAGCCACCCAGGCGCCCTGGACTTAGGTTTTAAACACATACAGTGTTTTTGAAAACTCCAAATAACAACAGTAGTTCACAGCTTGGATTGAACCTATATATTTTAATGCAATCAACAAACTGAGAGAAAACTTTAAAGGCTAGTCATTCAAAATTGGGTTTGTTGGGATATAAACATTTAAAAAATATTTATCATATTGCGAGTACTGCTCTACCTTGAATATCATCTTAAAACTTTTCCTTCCTAAGGATTCATAGGCCTTTTCTTGCCTTTCAAATGTAAAATTTTAGTATAAAAAAAGTGGCAATCAATGGTCTCACGTGAAAGAAAACTTGCTCAAACACAAAACTGTGCAAAGTTACAACTCACTGTAAAATGAAGACACAAAAGATTTAGGTTATGCACTATGTGCCATTATCCAAATGAACCAAAAATGGCAGCTTATTTTTCAATTCAGATTATTATAACTAGTATTTCATATTTAAAGCAGGACTCTACAATTTAAATTCAACAATACTGAAAGTCTGTGGAAAACTAGAATTAAAAGTCTGTTAGTCCAAAGTTCCTGCTCCTAAGTCTTCACCATTTGTCTGCAATTCATATCTCACAAATTTATAGGCAGACCAAATAAAGAAAAATGATTCTGAACAATTCAAACTAAGGCAATATCTAAAACAGCCACACTTAAAAAAAAAAAAAAATCTATAATTTTGTTCTTTGTGGCTTTCCAAACCTCCTTCTCTTCCAGGAGGTGAAAGAAGATAAGGGAAGAGGATTCTGAAAGCTCTCATCTGAATTCTTTATAAACATCAAATGATTTTCACAGAATTACTGTCTAAATATAATCTATGTATCTGTTTTATACCGTAAGGAACGTATTACAATAATCTTTCAGAGTTTTGTTAGTATAAGGATTACATTTTTTTACTGAAATATGAGTGTTACTCATTTATGAACTCAACCCACCAAATATTCACGGATTATTTGCCAAAAGTAAAGCCTAGAACTGAATGAATAAATTATGGAGGGTTAATTACTAGAAAACTGGAAATTATGTTACTTTTAATCAGGGGCCAACAAGTCAGAGAACAAACCCTATGTAACTTTTCGGACCCCCTCCCGCGCAAAAAAAAAAAAAAAAAAAAAAAAAAAACAACAAAACCCAAAACAAAAAACCCAAAAAGTACTTAGTCCGGAGGGAGGATTCAGAGGTGATATCACCAGCAGCACAGCTGGAACGAAACACATTTACAGGGTCTCTTTTCCAAAGATTTCAAGGGAATCCAATTAACATGGAAGCCCTTTCCCTAAGTGCCTTGAAATCTTTTCCAAAACTCTCGAATACAGTGTAGTTCAATAAAAGCCGGACTTATCCCCCACACCACCCTTCTTCCAAGAATCGAAACTAATTGGATTTCAAGCTTTAAATCCAAATGACCTCTATGAATGGGGCTCTTATTTACGTGCCTGGTGGGGGGAGAGGACGGTGTTTACTTTTATAGATTTATACATGTACGTATACTACATGTATATGTAGTTTATCTAACACCCCTCACAGCTTCAAACACAATCTTTCGGGTGCCTTTCGGACTCCCACCGTTCTCGTCCACCAACACGTCTGGAAAAAAGGCATATCGCCCAGGTCTCCGGACCCAACCCCAAGGGACTGATCCTCCTCCAATCCTTCCTTCTATCGGCTTTCCCCCCTAGACGTCCTGGGCCTACTTCTCTCGCTCTTCTCCCCAATTCCCGGCGCCCCTGACACCCTTCAGGGACCGGCCAGTCTCTTCTCCAGTCCCTGGCCTCCCCGCTGCCGCCCTGGCCTCCCGAATCGCCCCCAACCCAGGACAGTCCGCGCTGCCACTTTAAGAGGCGGCGGCCGGCCGGACGGCCTCCGCGGCCTGGCCGCACTCACCCACTGGTTGGCCTTGGGGCAGAAGGTGTACAGAGCGACCTGGCCCGTGAGGTCTGCGATGCTGGTGATGTAGGGGTCGTGCTGTTTCAGGGCCGCTAAGCTCATCTCCTGCCCAGCTCTACTCAGCGACTCCATCTTGAATTCCGGAGCCAAGCCCCTCCGGCAGAGGCGGAGCCGCGGACAGGAAGGTGCCATCGAGGCAAAATTCCCCCAGTAGCGTCAGCACCTTCAACTTCCGCCTCTCGGCCGGGCCTCGCGGCGGGGGGGGCGGGGGGGTACAACAACTATTGTGCTCCGCTGCGTCCACGCCCCCGGGTGCCGGGTTCCGGGAGCGTTAGGTTTGTGACGGTCCAGAGTGTGGTGTTGGAGTCAGTGAGTGACCGAGCTGGCAGGCGGGGGCTCAGGAGCTTCCTGTACTCCGGGTAAAAAATGTCCTGACCGCGAGCCTTCACCGGGCTCCTGCCGGACGAGGCAGCAGACCGCCGCGGGGCCGCACAATGAAAAAGCCCGCTGTGGCTGTGCGGGACTCCACGGTCGTGGGGAGAGCACAGAGAAGCAGGGAGGGGCAGCACCCCGAAAGTCACCCCAGATCTCCGGTCTCACTAGATCGCCGCCGTCAGCATTTTTTTTTTTCCCTTGAAGGAACATCTTGAAAAAAAGCCAAAGTAGCCCTCCCGTACGTGCACAGGCGTGTCCTGTGCTCGCCACTCTTGTTCTTCGCTTTCCTCGTCTGAAGCTCGTGTAAGTCCTTCCACCCAGGCTTGGCTCGAGCCCGCGAAGGCGCGTTTGTCGCGCCGCGGTGAAAGCTTTCAACGGCTCGTTCTCCGAGCAGACGCGCCTGAAGCCTTGTAACACGTTTTTTAAAGCACCAGGTACCAGCCCAAGAGTGAAACAAGGCGTGGGGACTCTAGGGGACTCTGTTCACCCCCTCTCCACTTGTTCAAAGAACATTTTCTCAGGCGGAAAAGATACTCCCATGGAATTGAATTTTTTTTTTTAAGATTTTATTTATTTGACAGAAATAGCACAAGTAAGCAGAGCGGCAGGGAGAAGAAGAGGGCGAAGCAGGCTCTCTGCTGAGCAGGGAGCCGGATGCGGGACTCGATCCTGAGACCCTGGGATCATGACCTGAGCCGAAGGCAGAGGCTTAACCAACTGAGCCACCCGGTACCCCAGAATCGAATTTTTTTTTTTTAGTTTTTTTTTTTTTTAAGATTTTATTTATTTGACGGACAGAGATCACAAGTAGGCAGAGAGGCAGGCAGAGAGAGAGGAGGAAGCAGGCTCCCTGCTGAGCAGAGAGCCCAATGCGGGGCTCGATCCCAGGACACTGGGATCATGACCTGAGCCAAAGGCAGAGGCTTTACCCCACTGAGCCACCCAGGCGCCCCTGGAATCGAATTTTGAAAGGAAAAAAAAAAGGGGGGGGGAGGAACCCCGTCATATTTGTGTTGTTTATGATTTTTATATCCCAGGGCCGTTGGCTAATGGAAAGAATATAATGCCTTATATTCTTTGCAGTATCAGGTAAGGAGCGTGTATGAATGCAGATAAGGAGATAAGCCCTTCAGGTGCTGTGGGTTAAGTGTTTATTGAACCTTTAAGGATGAGTAGGAATGGCTCGGAGAAGAAAGGCAAGGGCTCTCTTTCACTTTACAGTCTAATGGTGAGGTAGAGGAAGTGTGGTCATCCTCATTTGATGAATGGTTTAATTGAAGCTGGGGGGCTCAGAGTTCCATACGAGTCCGGGGGTGGGAGCGGGGGGTGCGGTGGGGAGGGAGGGGATCTAGTATTAGAGTCTAGAGACTCCTTCCAACCCCCAGAGCCCTTTCCTCTACACCAGGGCTACCTTTCTGCATCCTTGAGGACTAGACTTACTCCCCTCCACCTACTTTCAATCCAATATTTAAAAATCTGTACCCTAATTTAAAAAGTTACGTATTGTTTGAATACAATACAAGCCCTTGGAATAAAATTCAAAGGCACACCTGAAACTAAAGAAAGTAGTCTTTTCTTCTTTTAAAAATTATTATTTTATTAAGGTATACCTGACATAGAGCACTGTATTAGTTTCAGGTGTACAGTATAATGATGTGGTATTTCTATATATTGCAAAGTGATCAAACAACAGTCCAGCTAACATCTGTCACCGTACATAGTTACAAAAAATTGTTTTCTTTTGGTAAATTTTCAAGATCCACTCTCCTAACTGCTTTCAAATATGCAATGCTATTAATAGCAGTAGTCATCAGGCTATATGTTATATCCCCAGGACTTATTCATTCGTTTTTTTCTTACATAGATTTACCAAAATCTAAGACATTTCCTTTATATTTATTATTTTTGATTGAACAGGGCTAGACTCATGAAAAAAAGCAAGCTATTTTAGGGAGGTTTCATATTCAGAGTAGGGAATTGCTTTAAAATGTATGTTCATGTGGCCCAAAACATGTTAATGTTGACTGTGATACCTATACAGCTCTCAAGATCTATTAAAGAGAATGTGAATCTTTTGGAGCTGGAACTCTTTCTCATTTACTTTGAGGCCTAATTTTTCCTTGTATTTGGCTTGGCTAGCTTTCTGCCTGTGGCCACTTTCTATGAATTGCCGTTTCAATGATTCCACCCCAGCCCATTGGCCTCCTTTCTATTCCTGTACATGTGCCAAATGAGTCTTGCCGCAGGGCCTTTGCGCTTGTCATTCTCCTTTTCTGGAACATTCTTCTCTCTGATATCCCTGGGATATCCTTATGGCTCATTTCCTCATGTTGTTCATAGCACTCATCTGCAAGTGGTAATTATTTTATTTACTTCTGTTGTGTCTGTATCATCAGCTCCATGAAGCAGGACCCATGTCTGTCTTCTTCATCACACATCTCTGGCACAGAGACAAGGCCCAATAACATGTTTGCTGGATTAATTGGAAGATCAGGGTATTCTCTTTATCACATAAGCCTGAGAGAAGAGATGGTTGTTTCCAATCCACATCTAAGAAATCATTTGTTTCTCATAAGTGCTGGACAAATATAATGATGCCTGTTTTTCTTGTATTCCTATATTTTGATTCTTAGGCTCGAGGCTTCCTGAAGCAAACATACTGTGTTTAGTATAGCCCAGAACAATGGGGGACATTCTCAGTCTGGCCCCTTTTCCCATGTCCGCTTTTTTCCATCTATCTGTCTCCCATCTCCTCTTCTCCTTCCTCTTCCTTTCTCTAGAAACTATTCTAGAAGTATCTGCTTACCATTTGCCTCTTTAGGTAGAGAAACCAAGCTAAATAATTTTCCTAAAGTCACAAAATGATTCACTTGCAGAGCTGGATTAACATCTTCTCGCTTTGGCTTCCAGGTAGATCACGTATCTTGCTACCATTCTGTCTGGCACACTCGTAAATTACACTGCCTACACATGAGTGAAACTTGTTCTCCTTATGCTGCTGTTCCGCCACCGATATTTATTTTACATGGTTCATACGCAAAAGGTTGTGGGTTTACTATACAGTCCATCACCTGGTGCTTCCCAGATGCTTTGGATGGTAGTTTTTCCCTTCAGTTTCTCCAGAAAGGTCTGAGACCTCTGTATTTTAAAATGTCCCTTTATGAAAGTATTTTTAAAGGGTCTAGATGCTTTCTAGAGTTACATTTCAGATTTGTGAATTAGTTTAATCTGTCATTTCTGGAACAGAATAATGCTTTCAATCAGGAAGAAAGAAAGTGGCTCTATATGGGGTAACATGATTAGAATAAAAGAACATGGGATTAGCACACTATTTAGTTCATCTGTTAATTGCATCTAACAGCTTTCTTGATAATGTTCTTTGGTGGAAAGTTCTACATCATTTAGTTACTTAATCCAGTGTAATGTTTCAAACTAACAGTAGCATAGCTGGGGTATATTCACAACTGATACACAGTGTTCCATGGAACACGGAGTGCTTTATAGGTATACATACTCACAAACTCTCCAGATTGTTCTGTGGTTGTAACTAATTGTTACCCATTTGTAAATGAAGGTTTCGGGAGGCCCAAGATGAGTTGACTTGCCTGTGGCAGAAATTGTTCGCTGTTCACCAGCAACCTTTTCATCCTTTTCTGTTGCCCTCACCACACACCACACACATTCACCACACATTCATTTCCCAAACTCTTTTGGTTTAGGTATGGCTCTTTTTTTTTTTTTTTAAGATTTTATTTATTTATTTGACCGAGAGAGATCACAAGTAGGCAGAGAGGCAGGCAGAGAGAGAGGGGGAAGCAAGCTCCCTGCTGAGCAGAGAGCCCGATGTGGGGCTCAATCCCAGGACCCTGGGATCATGACCTGAGCTGAAAGCAGAGGCTTTAACCCACTGAACCACCCAGGCGCCCCTAGGTATGGCTCTTTGACCCAATTTTGGCCTGTGGAATGTTGGCAGAAGGGATGTGTGCCTTACCCAGGCCACAGCCTTAAGGACATGTTCCTCCTTGACTTAGTTTTCCCTCATCTGTTGTTTGTGGGCAGGCAACTGTGAGACCATGGAGAATGGCAGAGACCCAAGATGGAAAGAGTTGGGACCTTGAATTGCCCCAGAGAGAAATGTTGCTTGCTGTTCAGGGTATCCTTCTCAGACTATTAAGTAAAGAGTGGACTCTGCTGGGTTTGAGAAATTATGTACTTCGCGGTCTTTTTGTTACCTCAGCCTAGCCTAGCCCAACTAATTACACTGCTCTATATTGTTTAGAAAGTCAGCAATAAAATCTCAGTCTTCTGAAGTGGAATTAAAATTAAACATATGATTTACCAGAACACCGCTTAGTGCTTTGACAATAAGTCAAGATTTTAAAAGAACTCCAGCCAGAGCTCTGCATTTGCAATCAGTTGGAGGCACAGATTTGCAGAGTCACAAAGTGGCTAAAGACCAGAAATGTTTTTGCCTATACTATTAGGTGATTGATTTGCAATTGCGTCATGAAATAACCCTACTAAGCCAAAATGAGAGGCTCTCGTTTAAAATGCACTTTCTCCATGAGCATTTCTGAGATTCTCTTGGACTTCTTTTAATCCTTCCTTTCTTTTTGCCTTGGGGATATTAAAATACAAGTACAGTTGACTCTTGAACAACATGAGTTTGAACTGTGTGGGTCCACATGTAGGGATTTTTTTTTTATAAATAC